TGTTATATATAACATTGGTGTCGATATTGGTGACTCGCTGGAAGCCGAGCCACCGTGATCCAAGCCCTGTTGGGAACCGTGTTATGCAAACTCTACAAACATCGCGAATTGTACGCTTCCGGTGTCAATGGAACACATGTAATTAGTATGGAAAAAGCGTGCACAACTTAAACAAAATTGCATAAATTGTTGCTGGAAACTGCACGAAGCTGCGGCCACCGGCTGCAAGCATGTCAGGCCGTCAAAGGTGTTGTTCATAGTTACGCGAGGCACGGCTAGCGCCGTGTCTCTGGGGCTGAGTCTGCTCCACCATTTTCCGGCTGAACTCGCTCGATCTAGAGTCTCGTCCGTAAACTCCTCGTCATCCGACAGTTTGTTCTCCGCGACGGTTCATGCGTGTAGTTCATGCGTCACTCATGCGATAGTTCATGCGTCGTTCATGCGATAGTTCATAGATAGTTACATAGTTCACAGTTCAGTTCAAGTCACTTAATGGCATTTATCAATGAAACGTGACAGCCCGGGAATAAGGTTTCCATAAGCAGTTTAATAGCATCACACGGACGGGCGGGCTTTTCACGTGACAACGCATGCTACTTGAGAAAACAAATCTCAGAAGCGTTTCCAGGCTTCTAGAAATTTTCCGCGAACGCTGTCTCACCTACCCATACACCTAAAGGGGATCACACGTGCCGCTCAACAAGCTGAACATCCTTGATTGACGGGAGTGATGTGATGAAAGAGGGTACATCTAACTCTCCCAGTGCCCTGTCTATCACCAATAATAATGCAGGGCAGCGTGGCATTGACGGAAGCCAGGATGACGTGATGAGAGGGGCACAACCGATCATCGCCCAGTCCTGACCCTCACCAGCGATACTGAAGAGCAGCGAGGCATTGGCGGTGGCTAGCATGACGTATTGAGAGAGGACACGCAGCTCACCACGGCCCAAAAGCTCTGCTCCTCACCAGCGATACTGAAGAGCAGCGAGGCGTTGGCAGTGGCCAGGATGACGAGGTGGCCGACCGGGTCCGTCTCGAACACCTGGACGGCCCGTTCAGGCAGGTCCACCCGGGGCGGGTGGGGCGGCGGCGGCCCCTCCTCCAGCACGGTGAGCAGCACCCGCGCCACCGACGAGCGCACCGGCTTGCCGCCGTCCGTCGCCCGCACCTGGACACAGAAAAGGCGCTCAGCGTGAGCAACTGGCCACAATGCGCCGCCGTCATCTGGCGACAACGGGAGAGCTCGGTGGTAACAGCACAGCTGTCCACTGCCCTGACCTGGGTGGGGCAATGGCCGAGCTTCGATGCTGCCCAGACTGTGGTCTGTCGCCTTGATGCGCAAACAGCGCAGCCAAACACTATGACTGTGCCAACAACCGTCTGCTGTCCCTGCTTGCGGACAGCGGGGGCTTCAGCGGTAACCACGCCACCGTATGTCGCCGTAACGAGAGAACAATGGGATGACGCTGAGTGAACGATCACTGTTAATTACCGTTGCACGCGGTCACAACAGATACAGACTTAATAGTGCTTCTGAACGCAGTCTTCGCCTCGAAACAACAAGAGACCTCAGTGCCGACACGTTTATCGCTTTCAACCGAGTCAGCTGGGCCTCACTGCTGACACGCACCCGAATGGGGGTCAAAATTCAACCCTCGAAGTAGCACAACTGTTCGAGAACAGCAACAAAGTTTGATATGAACAGCTCACTGTTGTCCTGATTCTTCCCCAGGAAAGAGGCGGAAGCCCAGGGTTAGCATTTTCCTCCCTGGGTAGAGTAAGGGATCTCGGCATTACTGCAACAGGCTAACGTGTTCACATGTGGTGGCAGGGGCATCTTTCAGTGCTAATTCTTATGCAACCAACAATGCCATGAAACACCAGGAAGACTGCCCGCAGCACCACCGCCACACCCCAAAGAAAATAAGTTCAAATTCAGATGCATTTCCCTTTGTGCAGTGCGTTTTCCTCATTCAAAATATACGTATGACACTGAAATGGAAAGCCACTGGAATGGGAACAGCGAGTCTGGTCGTAATTTCCGTCTCGTTGCGGCGCTTACGTCAGGACCATACTTTTCTTTGCGAGCAAAGGAATGCTGGAACGAAAAAGCCATTGAATAAGGATTCAAACGCCGCCTGGCCTAGCGACAAATGCATGACCGAAATGTGGTGCACTGCATGGAATTACTTTCATCATTTATTAGTCGCTATGCTTAAATTTCAACTTAAAAAGCTGCGCATTATTTCTCCGCATTCAAGTACGGCAACGTAATGTTGACTTTAATTTCGGTGGAAACGAACATTCTCTGCTTTTTGGAGACAAGGGAATACTGGAACGTAAGGATTTAAGCTATTGAATGGTGGCCTAACGCTACACATGGTAAAAATGTCGTGCAGTATATGGTAGCATACTTTATTGCATACTGTTCGTTATGTTCGAATTCACACATGAAGCATTCTGCAGATTTCTCCTGCAGTCAACCACAACAGCTCATCAATAACTTTCGTCCCAGCGGAAATAAGTTCGTTGTTGTCGCACACGTTTGCAATTAGTTTGAAGTCCTGAAAGTATCACTGCGTCCGGGTCTCCTGAGATCAGCAATGGATCTAGCAGTACTAGTATCATGCACGTGACTCAATTTGATGCATACTTTTTAGATATGAGTCAAGTAACAACGGCTAACGAGGAGTGATGCTGCGTCTGGCCGCAAGCCGCGAAAACACAGCAGGAACAATGCTCCACAGAACAAGGCAATACACTATACAGAACGCTAACTTAGAAGGCTGTGGATGTCAACAAAACGTTTCCCATGACACTCACCCGGGCCGTTACACAGCAATAACAGCACACCATCCAGGTCCACAACAAGCCATGGAACTGCTCGACGATCTGTTGTTAGTCCCTCAAATTGCAAGCTGTCGCAAACGGACGCACTTACGGTCGGCTGAGCGTGCAATGCACAGCATGGTGTGACTGCAGTGCAGAGCGCAGCTGTCGCTATAAACTGGGCGGCAGCCTAGGCCTGACAGGCGCTGTAATCGCTCGGCGTCCAGTCGCTCATCGCACAGTGCAACGCCCTGGCCAGTCGGCCCTGCCGGTGCCGGCCACTAGCCGTCCATAACTCACGGTCAGCTGGTGTTTGCCGGCGGCGATGGGCGCCCCGTCCGTCGGCAGCCGCAGCTGGCCCAGCCGCGGCTCGATGGTCAGACGCAGGCCGTCCGTCGACACGATCGAGTAGCGCAGCTCGGCGTTCACGCCGGCGTCCTCGTCGTGCGCAATCACCTGCCCGGGTGCCAACTACGTCAGCGGCAGGGTAGCAGCCACGTCAGCGGCAGGGCAGCAGTCACGTCAGTCGCAGGGGAACGGTCACATCAGCGGCAGGGGAACAGTTACGTCAGCGAAAGGGTAATAGTCACGTCAGCGGCAGCGTAGCCACGTCAGTCGCAGGGTAACAGTCACGTCCGCGGCAGCGTAACGGTCACGTCAGCGGCAGGGTTACAGTCCCGTCAGCGGCAAGGTAGCAGTCATGTCAGCGGCAGGGTGACAGTCACGTCAGCGGCATGGTAATAGCCACGTCGGCGACAGGGTAACAGTCACGTCAGCGGCAGGGTAACAGTCACGTTAGCGGCAGGGTAACAGCCACGTCAGCGGCAGGCAGCTACCATGGCGGCTGCTCGGTAACGGCCACTTCAGCGGCAGGATAGCGGGATGTAATTTGGGCGGTAGAACAAGCACCAAACACTTTTTCACTTTCGCACGCAGGGCAGAAGGCAACAGCTGGGCTGAACGGATGTAGTGTCACTGACAGGTCACGGGGTGTGGCGTTAATGACAGAGACCAAAGGTGTGATGCTACGGACGGGGACAGGGGTGTGACGTTAATGACGGGGACCGGCGGCGTGACGGTGGGAACACGGAACCGGTGCGCCACGCCATGAGCGGCTCGGTAGAGCCGGAATATACGGACCAGAAGGCCTTCTCCCAAATGATCATAGCGGTGCACGACGCCGAATGCTTACTGACAAGGACAGGAGGCACCACTGCAAGAAATCGCTCGTGTCACCGAGACGAATGTGAGCAGCTTCTTTGTCGTATGGAGTTCTACGGGCGAATAACAATCCGCTAGCGTCTGAACAACAGTGGATCACACCCGCAGGAGAAGAAACTCAAACAAAAGCGTCTGAACGCCGTTCGAACATGAAATGGCGGGAAGGTCGACACCACGGCAAAAATCGGGCGATGCAAGCCGCACCAGGCGAGATTCATTGGATAGGCCGACTGCCTGATCCCGCAAATCTTCGTTGAGCCGGGCGGAGAACGTGTAGCTGTCTGATACAATTACCCCTGGACCATGGCGCCGGAGGAAAGGAAATGACTTTCCGTGGAACTGGCCAGTGAATGACATCCCAGAGAGAGTTGATAGTTGCCTTCTCGCGTCACCTGCGGAGAAAATAATGTTTCCAAGGGAACGCCCGAGTTTCTCCAACGGCATGTATCCGGTATATTTCTGGCAAGTGGTTGGGGACCCCCAGACAACGGAGCTTCTGTTTTCTTCGCAAACTTTACAAGAGTGCAGCAATACAGAATGGTGATCTAAGAAACTTGCAGCAATGCAGAATAGTGACCTAAGAAACTAACCACCTAGCTACAAGACTATGGCTAGTCTGGACGCAAGGAGAACTATGCATACCTGAAGATTCACAGGAAGTGATCACCGCTCAACGCGACTTAAACGAGGCGCATTCCAAGCCACAATGGACGTCAGTCGGAACACACTAATCCTTTCTCCGACCCCTCCCGCTCGAGCCTGCGGGATCGGACGCAACAGGGCGGCAGCGGAGGGCTGCAGACACCCGCGACCGGTACCGTGGGATTATTGGACGCTTAACGGTGGAGCTGGAGCCGGTGCCGGGACGAGGAGGCGCGCCGCCGGCGCGGTCGCCCGCCTAGTCCATAGCAGCGCCGCTGCCTCGTTCGCGAGCCTCGAGAGCCGCTTTTCGTGCGCTATCGCGTCAGTCGGTCACCGTGTCCGGGGACGTCACGAGCCGCCGCCAGGGTTGACTCATGGGCGTCCCGGGGCTCCGTGACGAGGAGACCGGATTATGGGACGGCGCCGGCGCTGGCGCGCTGTCGGAGCCGCGCCGCCGGGACGTCAGTGGGGCACCGCAGGACAGGCAGCTGGGCTGCCAGTCATGGGCTGGGACACGTCACGAGACGCTGCATTGATGGCAGAGTGATGCTGCATAACTGGCAGCCGGTAGTGCTGCTGGGCTGTCGGGGACGCGTCACGGCACGCTGCACTGATGGCAGAGTGACATCCCATGACTGGCAGCCGGAGGCGCTGCTGGGGTGTTCGCGGACGCGTCACGGGACGCTGCACTGATGGCAGAGTGACGCCGCATGACTACAGAATTGAGCTGACTCAGAACGTGCGGCCGAAACGTCACAGCCGATGTGACGCGCAAGCATTGTGAGTGGCTGAAATAGGACATTTCTTTCATCAGGCCCATTGCCATTTCGAGCTAATGCAAACGTAGTTACATTTCAGTGACAAGTACCTCGGTTGCAAGCTATTCAGCGACCGGCGCTATGATTCCAAATATGCTGCATTCTAATCCCGGAGCCCACAGATATATCCGAGCGCCATGTGTTACGAGCACTGCTGGAACTATGCCAACTGAGATTAATTCCGGCGCTCCTCCGAAGTCTCCTAAACCTCCAAGAAGACGTGCAGCCGTTGAGTGGGAATCCAATCAAATTTCATAACAACGGAGGGGGCATTCGACGAAGCTTAGTCGGCAAACTAAGAAAGTTCTTAGCTTAAGCCGCGCGTCTCCATATGTTGCGTCCACAGTGTGCGCACAGATTGTGCGGCACCCAACCGTAGACGACATGTCATTACGGGTGGAACTGCCAGTGCAATATCCGGGCATGAGCACGCAACATCGTTTGTGACACACGGGTATACTGCGCAAGAAGACATCAGGAAGACAGAAGCACAACCAGGAGTGGCGGACGCATAGGGGGGGGGGGGGGGGGGGGGCGGAACCATGCCCCTCTCCATGGTCCATGGGTCCCGAGGGAGCCCATACATTCCGAAGGGGTCCGTAACCACCGGAAAGGTCCCGGGGTTTTGAGCACAAAGCACAGTAAATTGGACATTTATGGGCCAGCAGGAGACCAGAAAGTGTTACAGGCAAAATTAAAAGGCCTTGAGCACACTAAAATTACCCTTTACTGATTCGACAGTATGGCGGTTGGGGAGGTTTTCTTTCGGGTTCAATACACTGTCCATGGATCCTGCGCTGTTGCTGGGACCACACATGCCCACTGTCTGGGACACTCCAATCTCTAAAAAGTCTTCCAGGTTGCCCTCAATTCCTTTGCATTTTCTCGAGGGAAGGGGGAGGGAAGGGCCTTCGCTGTTGTCGGGGCCCTATATGTCAACCTTCCGAGGCACTCTTGTTCGATTCGGAGCCCTCCATGGATTCTTCCCATTCCTGGATCCATTCCTGCATAACTCCTATTCTACTTACATTAAAGGCTTTATAAATTATGCAAACATTATAAACATATACTGAGTTTGATCAAAATAAAGCGGGATAAATCCGGTGAAAAAATGGGAGGGGGGGGTAGGTTGTCGGACCTTCGGTTCGGGCCTCCCAATAATTTACAAAAACTGACACCCCCTGTTACAGCCAAACCAACACTATGCTTTAGTCATAAGCCAGCGGCTGATTACATGGACTAGTACGTTAGCCGCTGGAAACTGGCTGGCTACATCCATCCTTGGCATTAAGTGTCGTGCCGGATTTTGCTGGTATTTAGCAGCTAATCTTAACTTACTTTACCAAGCTTTATCTGCAAGACTTAAAGTCAAAATGGTAGGATGCACAATAATCTAAAGAAAATGGGCGCGCTCCTTATATGCATAGACGCGACACGCTTGTTTTTTAGGGCTGCGCACAGAAAGATGGCTTCCCGTTTAACAAAACAGCAGACACAAGAATCTTAAACTTAATGGTCGAAAGGAGGGGTACCCAAACTGCAGAGGACACACACTCCTGCGAGGTGACCCCCTTAACGAAATCCTGGATCCGCCACTCGCAACCAGTGGGCCGTAACACGCGCATCGACCGCCAGTGAAACGAACAATTAGTCTCAGAAACGGTGTGCGAATATCCATACCAAGCCAGGCGGGTGTCCATCTTTCTTTGTCTCCTCGAACAAATGGCACAATATCGTGCACCAGTCTCGCAGAACACGCCGCCGCGAAAGGCCACAAGTCACCGCGACCGGCACCGCGTCACCTATAAATACGCGCCCAGCGGGGCAGGTCAGCGGCCGCCGGCCAGGCCGGTCATATTCCGCACGCACTGGCCGCGGAGGCACGTGCTGGCGGCCGGCCAGCGGCCGCCGCCGAGAGCCATTGCCGTCAGTGCCCATTTGTTGACGGCCGGCCGGCTGCGGATCAGTGACGCCGCGCCGGCCACGGCAGCCAATCAGCGACAATGGAGACGGGATGACCGACTACGGGCGACAGGATATTGGCCGCCCACAGGGTGCTAGGGACATGCTAGGGGAGCGGGCGACAGGGCAGTCAGCAGCTGGCCAGCGACGGGCAACAGGATAGCAGTTGACCAGGAACGGTTAATAAGACGGCGGTTGACCAGGGACGGGAACAGGACCGCAGATGACCACGGACTGATAACAGGACAGCAGCCGACCAGGCACGGACAACAGGACAGTAGCCGACTGAGGCGGGTAAAAGGACAGCAGGTGACCAGGGACTGATAACAGGATAATAGCTGACCAGGGACAGGTGACAAGACAGCAGCTCACCAAGGACCAGGAACAAGAACCTGCGCATCGCCTGACCACGGGCGGGCAACAGTACATAGGGTACACATGAACAACAGCCACACGGGTGACAAACAGAACGTGACTCTGGGGCCGGTAACAAAACATCAGCTGACCAGGAGCCGGTGACAAAGCATCGGCTGACCAGGGATGGCGTGGTTCTTATTAGCTGAAAAGGGACGAATAAAAGGACATTGGCTGCCAAGGGGCGAGGACAATAACTTTACAGTGGTTTGAACAGAACACAGCCTGCAAAAGGCACTGTCCACATACCGCCTGATCGAGGATGGATACCACGACGTCATGCGACCAGGGAGGGATAACAGAAACGGCTCGCTGAACATTAGATGGTCATGGACAGCAGCGAGACATCAGCCAGCCAGCTGGCTGCAGATAGAGAAACGGAACACGCAAATCGCGGACTACCTGGAAACCGCGCGGCTGCGAGGAGGACTATGAGATGATTCTCTACCAGATACAGGCGGAGCGAGGAGTGCCAGCCCGCCTGCCCCAGGCACCGGCCAATCCCAACCCGGACAGTGCTGCGGGCGCGGGGCGGCAGGGGTGCCGATACCATCTCCACCCCGCAGCCACAGAGCCGGCTGTGCCGCTCCGTCCCCGCGCCGGCGGAGCCTCGCGGTGATCCCGGCCCGGCGAAGCCTCGCGGTGACCCCGCCCCGGCGGAGCCTCGCGGCGATCCCGCCCCGGCGCGGCGGACCGCCATCGGCCGTCTGTCGGCGCTGGTTCGCATGCGGGCCCGCCGCCCCCTCCCCATGGCGGACCTCCCCGGAGACTGTACCCGTCACCGCGTCCGCTCGACATGCAGTCGGCGACGATAGCGGCGATAACAAGGCTGTTTACACGCGGCGCCCCGCCTCCGCGCCGGCCGGCCCTCCGGCCCACTTTACATGAGAATCAACGCCGTGCCCCGGTCCCGTCACACTGTAGCCGCGGACACGGCAACGGTACAGGGACGGTGTCGACATGTCGGCGGACGAGGGGGAGGGCGTCCAGGTGCGAGGCTTGGCGCCGAACCGCGCACCGCAGGCGAACAATTGGCGGTCTTTGTGTCGGCAGCGCCCGACTAAAAACACACGGTTTAAGGGCCGTTTCTGCGCAGGCGCTGAAGCCGGAGGTGACGGTCATTGTTCCGAGCTACCGCCATTCACGCCGTTCGCCGAGTAACATTGACGCAAAAAACGTAGCTGTATAGTCGATTAAACCCTATGTGAAAGAACAACGGCCAGGTGAGCTGAGCGTTGACCAATATTTCACACCGCTATGCTCAGGTCACCACGCGACATGGCCTCGGTCGCCACACGACATGGCCCAGACCACCACGCGACTTGGCCTTGGTCGCCAGTTCTACAAAACACGAGCCGAGGTCATGCTGCGTTCAAAAGGTCACGCAAAACACCAAACAATCCATTCACTTGGGATCAACGAGAAATGTTCGCAACTTCCTTATCGTTCCGTTTCTCACGAGGAACGAGTACGATGAGCTCATTTTCGGGTCACATTAGCTGAGCATATGAAATGATCAACTGGTTTACGGCAGTTAATGTGCATAGAAACGAGGCCGTTAAACGGCCTGTTATCACGGAATAGCCTTCAAAAGCAGTGCGCTGGACGGCTTTGCAGCCGGTAATGTTGCAAAATAGCCACGGCGATCCGCCATTTAAGTGCCAGCGCCCCGTCAACGGCACCCCTGGCCTGTCAATGGACGAGACCTGACCTGGAAGATGGAGGCGTTGGGCCGACTGAGCGCCGGTCCCAGCGGCACCTGGACCCGGTAGAGCCGCTCAGAGAACACCGGGGGCGAGTCGTTCTCGTCCAGCACGGTGACCATGACCCGGGCCGTGGAGGTCAGGGCCGGTGCTCCCCAGTCCGACACCGTCACCTGTCGGACCAGAGGACAGTGTCAGAGGGGTCGTGACCCGGGCCGTGGAGGTCAGGACCGGTGCTCCCCAGTCCGACACCGTCACCTGTCGGACCAGAGGACAGTGTCAGAGGGGTCATGACCCGGGCCGTGGAGGTCAGGGCCGGTGCTCCCCAGTCCGACACCGTCACCTGTCGGACCAGAGGACAGTGTCAGAGGGGTCATGACCCGGACCGTGGAGGTCAGGGGCGGTGCTCCCCAGTCCGACACCGTCACCTGTCGGACCAGAGGACAGTGTCAGAGGGGTCATGACCCGGACCGTGGAGGTCAGGGCCGGTGCTCCCCAGTCCGACACCGTCACCTGTCGGACCAGAGGACGGTGTCAGAGGGGATCACATCACATATCACGACGCGGTGTCATCGAGAGCACGGACCCGACTTACACACGGGCGTGCTTTTTACAAAGCAGTCTGGCAACGGCCGACGGATGCTTTATTCCCTCAATGTAACGGCTCAGAAGCAGTGACGCCACATCAATGACGTCAGTTTACGAGGCTGTGACGTATGGCCGTCGTTTGGCATGCATTTCGGGTGATGCCGAGCGGGCCTCGGACCATTAAACGCTATTGGAGGGTCTCGTTCGCGGCGGAGATTGTCCAGCTGGGATTGCCAACCCCGCTCTTTCGCGTGAGCCTCACGCAAACAGCCTGTTGGTAACGTTCATGCCAAACAAGCTCCGGTTTCCTAGTGGGACCCTGAAAACAGCGGCGGTATAAGAACGGCACGCAAGCTGCTGCTCCATGCCGTCTTTGCTCCAGAAGTTCGTTTCCATGATGTCGTGCTGTCGTTTGGCTGGGCAGCCAGGAGACAGGCGGGTGGCAGCACTGCCCGGCGTCTGGGTCACGGCGCGTCGTTTGTCTTCCGTAGCTCTACATTTCAACAAAAGCTCAACAAAATTGTGCGCCAAAACGCTGTGTGCAGGTCACGTGGAAGTGGATGGGGATGACGCACGGGTGTTGCCGGGAAAGCGCCCGGGGTCGCCTCCGCCGTCTACCTTCGCAATCGCCGGAGCCGACTCGTCTCCAGTGCCGGCCGGCTCACACGCCGAAGGTGGCAGCAAGCACCGCAACCCAGTCACTATCTCTAGAGTGGCAGCAAGCACCGCAAACCCAGTCACTAGTCACTATCCCCTGGCGCCACAGAACACGCAAGCCTCGGCCATTCTCACGTGGCACCGACAGAATGCGCCCCGCCCTATTTCTGTGGAGCCGGGTTCCCCGAGAGAGCGGCCGCTCCCGCCTCCCAGGCCGTCCCGCTTCCGTCGGTTGCCTTTCGGGCATACGATGAGAGCGGATGGGGCGACACCGTCACAGCTTAGCGGGCCGCTCTGTTTTTGCCAGTCTGCCATGTTAATGTGCCTTGTTTGCATGCGGCCCGCGCTGCGGCGGCGAATTATCTCAAAAAGTTTCCAGAACCTCCCGGTCGTTCCAGTGGCCACTTACGCCAGCAAAACGCGAGCAATCTCCGAGACAAATCATGGCGGGCGTCAGATTAGTCCACCGTAAAGAACGGCACGGCGTGGCTGAGCGAGAGCGATGACCTCCGGACCCCTGCCGCAGACAGCAGCGCAGCAGCGAGCGGCACGCCGACCACGTGACTCTGCCGACTGCACGGCCAGGCCGCGCCGTGTCGTCCACAGTTAGCGCGACTGATTCAACAGGCGCTCACGGGCACGAACGGTCGGCGCCCACTCGACGTCCGGGGCGGGGTGATTAAGAGGGGTGCATCGACGCGACCCAGTCGGCCATGCCCGAGGCGCGGCGTAGGCACCGGGGCTGGCACGTGTCCGCGTGCGTCGGCCCACGTCGCCACACAGACGCCGCGCATACCTCACGGCCGGATTAAGACTGGATTTGCGACAGAAAACGCGGCGAAATACGCTTAGCGAGACGTCATTTCCGTCCGCTGAGTCCACCACCGACGGTGATGATTTAAGAGCTTCACTAACTCAAAGCGCTACGAAATTAGCGCGCACAGAACCCTATGAGCTGAGCCCGAGCGCCCACACCACAGCGCGGAGACAGAAATTAGCCTAATGGGCGGCGTTTGTGCCGGCAGCTGGGGCTGCGGCCGCGGCTCGGTCCGGTGCGCGGCGCAGCGGCTGCGGACCAGCCGCGGCCGGCCAGCAGCGCCGACCCATCCCGCCGGACAAAGGCCGCCGGGAGACCCGGCTAATGGGCGGCGGTGTCTGCAGACCGCTGCTCGGACGCCACCTGTTCAGACGCCGTCCTGCACGCCCTCCGCGGTCCGCTCCGGCCCGGCAGTGCCCCGGCTCCGCCCGACAGCGGCGGCGCAGCTGCGGTTGATTGACTGCGAGCTGCGGTGGCACCACGAGACCCATCGTGAAGCCGTCCTGTGGCCGGCCGTGCAGCATGCTGTCCGCTTCAGCCAGTGGAAGTTGGGGGATTGTCATTATCTTCTTACTTCTCACTTGACTGCAGAGCCTTTCGCTTGACGATTCGGGGGCAAGAGCCGCACAGTAAACAATAAATGTGATGGCTACATCAGAGGGCTGTTAGCGTGTACCCAACAAACAACACATTAGCTGAATTCTCAAGAGCCCCGCGGTCATCCGTATTCAAAGTGGCCGTCAGTTTCACTAAGCGTCGCGAGAACAATAGGGCTGCTCCCCGTGTGGTCCCGGCTCCTGCCGGCCCCCCGGCGAGGCAGCGACCAGCGTGCGGCACGCATACCTGAAGTCCGGTGATGACTTCCCATCTGCCGGTGTGGGGCGACTACCGCGGCCCCAGCTCCAGACGTGCTGGCCCTGCGGTAGGGCTACACCCGAGCGCAACCGGCCGATAGAGCGGAGCGGCGTGGCGGCCGGATTTTATCGTGGTAATCCGAGCCAGCGCGGTCGACGGACCGCGCCCACGTGGTTCGGTCAGTGCAGTCCGACTGACTGCACCCGTGTGGTCCGGTCAGTGCAGTCCGACCGACTGCACCTGTGTGGTCCGGTCCGAGCAGTCCGACCGACTGTATCCGTGTGGTCCGGCCAGCGCGGTCCGATCGACTGCACCCGTGTGGTCCGGTCCGAGCAGTCCGACCGACTGCACCCGTGTGGTCCGGTCAGCGCGGTCCGATCGACCGCTTCCGTAAGGTCCGGTCACCGCAGTCCGACCGATCGGTCCCGTGTGGTGCGGTCAGTGCGGTCCGACCGACCGTTCCCGAGTGCTCCGGTCCGAGTGGTCCGACCGACCGCCAACCGTGTGGTCCGGTCCGAGCAGTCCGGCCGGCCCCCACCCGTGTGGTCCGGCCCGAGCAGTCCGACCGACTGCACCCGTGTGATCTAGTCCGAGCAGTCCGACCCACTGCACCCGTGTGGTCCGGTCCGAGCAGTCCGGCCGGCCGCCACCCGTGTGGTCCGGTCAGTGCAGCAAAGCGTCCGCCGTCGTCTCCCGACCGAGCCTGTGGTCTGGAACGGCCGCTAATTGGCTGGCCGGTGCCCTCACCGCCGCTCGTAATCACCGGCCTAGCGCGCCGGAGCGGCGGGCGAGCCGAGCCCCCGCTGAGGGCCGTCACCGAGCCAGCGCCGGCGGCCGACCACTGCCGCCGGGCTGCAGAGAGAGCCCGGGCCACCAGCAGCGCTGGCTGCCATGGGAACATGATAAAATGGATGTGGTGATTGTCACGTCAGTATGGTACATGTGATACATGTGCGGCTTTGTGGTGCCCGGCGGAGCGTTAGGCGATGCAGCCGGAAGTGCGGGTCTTTTATAGCGGTAATCAGAGGCCTGGTTTTCCCTATCACGCGATCGGCGGTGCGCCGAAGAGCCGAGCCGGCCCGGCTTCAGGCCTGGCCGGCCTGATCCAAACCAGTCGTGAGGCGAGCTCCAGCCGTCCCCGCCCCGTCCCGTCCACCCATCCGTGCCAACTGCCGACTCGCAGACTGCCGCCAAACGCTAGCGGTCGTGGTGACTGCAGACGCGAGTGCAGACACTCGACGCGTCCCTGCGAGCTTCATGGACTGTGGGCATGTCGCTGACACTGAGGCCCGAACAGCCTGCTTTCTTGTGGTCAACCCGGCCTTTTGGGATGCCGGCCCGCCGAACAGTAGGGAGAAGGCTGGGCTGCGCGCCTCGGAGGGCCACGCTACCGGCGCGCTCAGCGGCCTGGTGCGCCTCACGGCTTTGTGGGGTCCACGACGGCTCCGAAACGTCGTGTGTTTCGCGTCCCTGCGGCTTCCGCGGCCCTGAAAACTCATCGCGCCTGTCACCCGTCCCTCGTCGCCTCCTGACGACGACCGACACGGCCCGCCCCGGCCGCGACCACGGACGCCACAGGCCTCGGCGCCACCCGTCCCCCGTCGCCTCCTGATGGCGACCGACACGGCCCGCCTCGGCCGCGACCACGGACGCCGCCGGCCTCGGCGCTACCGGCGCCACCTGCGCGGCGTTAAAGAGCCACCCGGAAGTCTGACTTGCCGTGTCCATCGCCGTCCGCCCCAGTTCAGCGCCAAAACGTCATAACACCCCGGGAGGCGCAGGCGCGCGAACGGACGGCCACGCGGCGGGTGCGGAGCGCCGTGCGGCCGTCTCGGGCGTGCTGCGGCGCGGCGCAGCGGGCCGTGTTATTGCTCGCGCCGCTTGACCGGCGGCCGAGCGGAAATGTGCCGGAAACCTGATTCGCCACGTCAAACACGCGCGAAACGTCAGCGCCGGCGTAGGGGCTGGCGTCGGCGGCGCCGAGCTCTACCCCGCCTGCGCCTGGCGCCTGGCGCCTAGCTTCTGACCGGACCTGCGCCGCCTCAGACACGGCCCTGCGCCCCGGGACGGCCGGCGCCTGGAGAGGCGACCTCGCCTCTCGCCTGACGCCGCTCCCTCGCGGTGCAGGACTGGTTACGGTAGCGAGGTGGCGAGGTGGCGGCGTCAGGTCAGCGCCCCGGCCTACACGTGGGGCCACGACCGCGACTCAAACCACAACCAAACTAAAACTATTCATTCCCCGCTGGGCGGAACCAACCGCTTTATGAATGCATTCGAAGGACATAAACCGCCGCATGGTCCATTCACTAGCCAATGCCAGCACCACTCCGCAGAGTTTTGCGAGAGGCTCTGTCGGGGTTGAAACGCTCGGGAGACATTTTCGCTGCGGGCTGCGGGCCTGAATAAACTACTCTGCTTACTCTGCGGCAGCCGCACTCTTCCGGCATGTTTCAAACACGGTCCCACAGATTAAGGGATCCTATTTTCTGTCCGTCCTTGGACGCAGGGATTCCCAGACGACCAGCGGCCCCTGACTAGAGATGCGGCATGTGTGTAACGGTCAGCAGCCGGCGGCCCGCCAGTCGCCGGGCTGTCGTGAGCTACCCGATGGGCGGAAATAGCGCGTGGTGGACAAGGCATCGGCGCTTCCACCACCGTATGCGAAAATCGCGCGAATCGTTGGCATTAGGAACCTTGTCGGGTTTTGGCGATACATTATGCGAAAGAGAACACGTGTCTATGATATGGGTCGCGGAAGTGCTGAGGAAAATACGCTTCTAATTTCGTGATTTGTGTTTGCAGTTGTGAGCGCTTCTTACATGCAAGAGCTTCTATTTCTATTGGCCTAACTTCTCAAGTAAGCACGATTAGTCCACGAGCTGCGACAGAACAGTCGCTGATCATTGCCCGGCCAGGCAGCTCCGCGTCGTCCACTGTCTGACCCCACCACGAAGTTCACGTCAGTCACTTGTCATCCAGTGACAACGTCGCATTATCGCATCCATTAACGCAGCCGCAGCCGCAGCCGCAGCCGCAGCCGCAGCCGCAGCCGCAGCCGCTGTCGTAGCCGCTGCCGCTGTCGCGCGGACGCTGTCCACAGCACGACAGTGGACAAGTGATCACAACGAGTCTTGGCAGGGGAGGCAGCGCTGGGTGTTCTGAGTTGTGTTCGACGCTGAAGTGGCCATATTCCGTGACCGAATTATTGTACGAGGGGTAAACGCATGACAATGCATGGGCACACAATTAATCAAAATGACTACCAGCATTCGTGTAGGTGATAACAACGTCACTCTACACTGTCACCGGGAGCTTGATCTCTGCATGGGCGGCGCGGAACTAAAGAGGTGCCAGTCCATGTCAGCAAAACATTATCACTTCACGCCAGCTTAACAACTACCACTTTGCGCTAGTACAACAGTCCTCAGTTCACGTCAGCTGTCAGCAAACACATCACTTCACGCTAGGAGAACGGTCGCCAGCCCACGTCAGCAAAACAATCGTCAGTTCACGTCAGCTTACTAATCGCCAGTCCACGTCACTTAAACAACCGTCCGGATCACGTCAGCGGAACAATCGTCAGTAAACATCCGCTAAACAATCGTCAGTAAACATCCGCTAAACAATCGTCAGTAAACATCCGCTAAACAATCGTCAGTAAACATCCGCTAAACAATCGTCAGTAAACATCCGCTAAACAATCGTCAGTAAACATCCGCTAAACAATCGTCAGTCCACTCGGGTGGCGCGTCATCAGACTTGAAAACACTACTTAGTCTGAGTGTCTCATCTAAATGGATTCCATTTCGCGGAGGGTTCGAAGCCATGGCCGTAAAACTGCACCCGTGACATTAATCATAAATCTTCATCCTTTGTAATGTTAATGAACATTACTCCCCAAGCCAAATCACGCTATCGAACCACAGCACTGTGAGCTCCTGCCTTCACGGCCCCTTATATTGTTATTTAAATCTTTTATATCAGAGCATCGCGGCATTTCATATTAGGAGACGAGAACCTGCGCTCGATTCCGCCACGTTGAGGCTCTCCCCACAGGTCATCAATGTCCCACATCTGGCGATCACACCCACAAAGGAAAACTGCACAAACAAACGGACCCAAGACCAGACGCAATCAAACCAGATGAATGGGTTTACTGGTCCCAGCTCACTTGCTGCCCACCCCACAGAGTCATCCCCCTCCCATTCTGTTGCATTCGCACAGCCAAGATCTACCGACCGCATCACTCAGAGCAATCTCGAGAACACGAGGCCGCGAGGCTCTTTGATAACCGCGTAGTGCCGAGGGTAGCTTTATGTGGCCGTGGCTGAAGCTCTACGATATATATCTTCTGTAGCACAGGCGGAAAATGTTATGGACAAACACGCCAGAGTTGCATCCCTGCGCCCCACAAGACTGACGGGAAATGCACATCACGGCATAGATGGTACAGAAAAGTAGAGAAGAAATGGTACGTGCCTCACGCTTTGCATAAAATAGCCAATACCTACTCATAGCCCATAATTACCGAGACATGCTAGAGTTCTGCTCCTCTCGGAAACGACACAGCTCCCGCTCGGCACGCGGGCACGGCAGCGGGCTGGCGGGCCTCTCACCTCCAGCGTGTACGCGGCGCGGGTCTCCCGGTCCAGGGTCCGTTCGGTGGTGGTGATGATGCCTGGGACAGGAGACACACTGTCAGACGATGTAAGGGGACACAAGACACAGCCAGACAAGACGCTACGGACGGGGCCGGTCAACGGGAGACGGAACAGCACTGCAGTCGAGCCAACGCCGACAGAAAAAGACGAAGCCCTGGCGGGCCGGGTTGGGGAAAGCAACCGCAGCTGAGGTTGGGGTTAGGGATGCAGGCTCATTAAATGGAGATCGGTCAGAATGCAAAGGAAGCGAGCCATAATGTTTAAAATACGAGAGAAGGTCAGTACTTCGTCGTTCACACAGACGATACAAAGCTATCAAAAATGGATCGCAGGCTTCCCGCGACCAGCCATCGGGTTGCGAGACGGTTGCCTGACTGTATTGCGGATTGGCAATCCATAGCCAATCATGCCTTCTTCACCCAAGCCTACACCTCCAATATGGCGGCCGGCATGAGTCTCATGAAGGCCGCCACGCCGCTCGCTAAGCTGCAGCGCAGACGTGACCGACACTGCAAGCAGCGACACTGCGACACTGCGACACCGCGGCGCCAACCGCCGCACCGGCTAAGTGTGTCGTGTCGCCTGGCCGACAGATCACCCCGGCAATTACCGGTCAAAGGTCACGCCTGACGCGACCGGCACGTAACGCCGTGAGGCGATGCTACCGGGGTATACGGGGTGGCCAACGTCAGACAATATGAGACACCTCACGCCCGCTATTACAGGGAAGTAACCCAACCAGGTCATGTGGGAACACAGAGCACCGATGTCAGACGTCGTGTGGATAAGTACTATATCTCAGTGGACTTACGTCCGGTATCTGAGAAACAAATGAAGTTCTCAGAAACAAAAGAAGTTCTCTCTTCAGGGGCCACTGTGGTCGGAACTGTGGGGATCACTGACGGCATGTAGGGGTGCCAGTTGTGTAGAAGTTAAGTTGCGCGTCTGGCAAACCAGGGACACGGGGTTCGATTTCCCTCGGTGCCCGCCATTCCTGCCTGGGGAACGGGTCCCAATGACTGACGTCATATACGGCGGATATAACTGACGACAGACATTTCAGGAATCAACGGTATCAAGTACGGCATAGGTCAATGACGTTGCATATTTCGGAGGATGAACGATATCAGATAGCGCAGGAGATATCTGACGTCATTTGCCGCTGGTGCTTGCTGAGCGCAGATAAGGACAGGCCCGGATGCCAGGCGTAGACCAAGACCATGGTGCGAGGAGTCGATAGGCACAGATAACTGCTGGTATCTGTGGTGCACACACTGGGACAGGACGCGGGCAGACGAGATCATGGACGCAAGAAAGGGGAGGAGGCAGGCTGGGTTACGATCAGGAGCCCACCATCCGTGCTGAAGACTGAGCTGGAAGGGATAAATTCCATAGCTAAAGGAAAAAAACAGTTCTGTATAGCCATCAGCGTGCTAAGGTCACAGATAGAAGGAATCTCTTCCATTTGTGAATCCCGGGATGCAAAGACCGGGTTAGAAATGTTACATATGGCATAGTGCCATCAAGGTCCATACAACGTTGGGTTTTCTGTTTGAGTTGTGGGTCAGCAGCGCGCATTCACTGTAAATGCGCCTTTTGAGTATTATTCTGATCGCAGCCAGTGACGTCACAGAAAGGCAAAGGCACAATGCGCGAAATATGTTGTGCTTCAAAACATCAGTTTAAACATAACTTAGGATATTTCAACCCGGCCAATTTCTCAAAGCAGGCATTTCCAAGGAGCTGCGCCAACATGTCATGATTTTTCAAGGAAAAATGAGGAGCACTCAGTCCGTGTTCCACGTTTAAGCTTTCACTTTACCATTTGTAACCGTGAAACGTTTTCCAAGTCAAGCCAACTGCTCGCTTAAGAGTTCTTTGCCTTGAGACTACCGAGCTGTTCGAAGTGTGCAGCAAACCATCCATTTAATCTAAATCACCATTTGCAGCCACAAACGACGGCCTGAGTGGCGTTGGGTGTAGAAATCTCAGAAAGCACGATACCCGCCAGACAATCGGGATAGTGAGAGGAAACCGGCGTGATACCCGCCAAACAGCCGGGGTAGTGGTTAGGGAAACGGCGTGATAGCCGCCCAGCAGCCGGGGTAGTGGTTAGGTAACCGGCGTGATACCCGCCAAACAGCCGGGGTAGTGGTTAGGGAAACGGCGTGATAGCCGCCCAACAGCCGGGGTAGTGGTTAGGTAACCGGCGTGATACCCGCCAAACAGCCGGGGTAGTGGTCAGGGAACCGGCGTGATGCCCACCAGACAACCGTGACAGTGGTCAGGAAACCGGCGTGATGCCCACCACACAACCGTGACAGTGGTCAAGAGAGCCGGACAAGCTTTCGTGGCAGCGCTGATCGATGAAAAAGAACCGCAAATACATCACGTTTAAGGCATTCCGCTGCTTTGGCGTCAAATAAAACTAAGCTGCCAAATTTTGATTGAATCACTGAGCGTCGTAGTTCACGACGCTGAAAGATGATTATGATCATAATGACAAAAAAAGAATGACAAAATATTACATTTCATGATCACGCGATGATCCGAATATCCATCAAAGATCCATGGACATGTCTGCCAACTATCATGTTGGCTGTGGAATTGAAAGTAAAACCTTGCCATGCGTTAGACTTGATATGCTGATGTTGATGACGTAAAGTTTTCAAACCCATTCTAGTCCTGTTCTGAAAGACGTCCAGCACAGATTTATGCCAAAAAGAAAGTTTCCCTCAAGCAATCCAAGATTTATCCTTGACTTGGCAGTTTCCTACGTCACAGGCCGCCGCCGCAGTTGATTAAGTGATGCATGCGGGCAGATCGATGTACAACAAATGGAGAGGAAATTTATTGCAAAGCTCCATAAATAGTTTCGAGACACAAAAAGCTTAATGCGTCCAAGATAACACGTGCACGACTCCCTCAGCCCAGCAGGCTTCCCCAGCGGCCAAAGACGACATTTTCCCTGCTGCTGCCAGCTACCTCCCCGAGTCAAGTCCTTTACGCGCGTATCTGCCCGGAGTGTACTATGTGGCGTCTTCACCTGCACCAGGGTTCGGATAGACTGCCCCCCCCCCCCCCAACCGCGTCAGGTCCCGTGGCAGTGTGCTCACCTGTGTCTATGTCCTGCGGTTTTCATTCCACCTGTGTCAAGGTCCGGCTACAGTGCACCAACCTGTGTCAGGGTCCAGCTGCGGTGTGCTCACCTGTGTCCGGGTCCGGCCACAGTGTGCTCACCTGAGCCCGGGTCCGGCTGCAGTGTGCTCACCTGTGTCCGGGTCCATGCTGAAGAGACTCTGCGGGTTACCGCCGGCTATGCGGTAGCGCAGTGGGCCGGCTCCATCCCGGTCTGAGGCCGTGACCCTGGTGACCCGCGTGCCCGAGGCGGAGTTCTCCAACACCTCGGCCCGGTACACCGGCTCAGACGTCAGCGGGTAGTTGTCGTTCTCGTCCTCCACCTCTATGTAGACCTGAACAAAGAACACTCGAGTCAGCACGTGGCCATCGTTCTCGTCCTCCACCTCTATGTAGACCTGAACAAACACAGAACACCCGAGTCAGCACGTGGCTGTCGTTCTCGTCCTCCACCTCTATGTACACCTGAACAACCACCGAACGCTCGGGTCGACAGGTAGCCCTCGTTCTCGTCTACCGCCTCCGTGTACATTTCCACACACATCACACCAGTTATTCTCATCGTATGACCTTTCTCTTCGACGTCTTGGCGAATCGGGTCACGCCACAAACTTTTCTCATTACACAGCCCCGCACCCAGCCATTATAATTCCGCCACCTGCGCTGACACGTCAAATAACCAGGAGCGCGGCCACCGCCGACGGCAGAGGTCAAAGGTACGCGGTTAACCGAACCACCGGGCTGATAACAACGGAGATTGTACGGGGACTTCTTGAATGCTGGAGAAAATGGGAGTCCCGCAAGGAAATGAGCCGGTACAGATATTGCACGTGGAGCAACAACGGGTTCAGATGCCTCATGGCGGCCGCTCGTAAGAGCAGGCGACACGTGAGGTAAGACGGTCCACGTATCTCCAGTCGGAGATTGTGTGGGTTCTGATGGGTGCTGGGGACAATGTCGGTCCCGCAGGGTAATGGGCTGGTTTTGCCGTCATTACACACTACAGTGCCGCACAGATACTGCGGGCGGAGCAATCCCTGTTTCAGAAGCCCCATGGCAGCCGTCCATAAGAGCAAGCGGCACGTGAGGTCAGACGGTCCACGCACCTCCAGTCGCGCCGACAGCGGGACGGCGCCGGAGTCCTTGGCGTACACGGTCAGCCAGTAGCTGGACTGGGTCTCCCGGTCCAGCACGTCCCTCGTGTAGATGCCTGCGGAAGAAGGAGAGAAGACCATGACGGACGGCTATCTCATCTCCAGCTACCATTAACGACAATCTAGCTCCGTCATGCTTAGTCCGTTCAACATGAGGATGCGATCTCTACCCATTGGCACCGGGCCTGGACTACCGTTTCAATCAATTACAAAAAGCACCCCGTGACCTCACATCCAGGTTATCTGAGCCATCGCAGAGACTTAAATGCATGCTTAAACTCCGGACAGACCGCAGCGCCCTCCGAGCCGGCATCTTCGCCAGCCCTGGGGCGGAGCGGACGGCACCCAATCCATCAGGCCCAGCCTGCAGCTGGCGCCACCGGCGCAATAACTGCAGCCGCCTCTGCCCTTGCCGGTGGCTGCCACGGCTCTGCAGGGTGTCCTCGTAGACCTGAGGCCTCTGAACAGCGGCGCGTTCGCCTCCAAGACGGCCCCAAACCCCTGAACAGCGGCGCGTTCGCCTCCAAGACGGCCCGAGACGGCCAGGGCTGGGCTATCGAGCCGGCGGCCCCGGGGCAGCCCCGTGGCAGCCCGGCTCCACCGCTCGGGTCGGGCTTAACGTCTATCCCTGGCCTCGCTGCAATGCGCTACAGAGGAAGCACTCAAACGACCGCACACCAAATGTGGCTGTACAAATGCGGCCTAGAGGTAAAAATGCATCATATGGAGGCAAACGAGGACGGCATACGTCATGACGCAGTGGCGGCTGACACAATAAAGCAATTGTCGAATGCGGCCGAGTGTGGTCAAGCACTGGCCCATATAATGCTTTTTTCAGCTGAGTTTGCTTCGTTGAACTTTCTTCACGTTTTGATTAACGCTTGTATGACGCCGCTCGCTGTCTCAGACGGGCTCACTGGGTTGAAATAACAATCCAGAAACAGCCCTCGTAGAAACTTAACACCAACGGTTCAAATGAATAAACATGACGTCACTGATAACTCTCCCCGCCAAAATACTTAGTGCATTCGCCAAAATTCTTCTCCAATTCTGCAAACGCACGCGTCACGCCATGGCGAGATATTCCTCCGTCCATCAACTCCGAACCGGTCAACGCTGAGGTTAAGGCTCGTCCCACCCTGAGCACGGAATTGTCAGCTTCAAGCGACACGACAAGCATGTTTCGAAGGGCTTCTTCCTGTAGCCAAGACGCTCCAACTCTCGCTCATTTATCCCATTTGTCACGATCAACACAAACTTGTCAGCGAAGCGGTCTCTGGCGTCGCGCCACGGCACTGGCCAGCGGCAAGCCTGTATCTGTCGAGCGTTGTTAATGTGGCGCGGGACGGGCGGCAGCCGCGGCGGCTCGTGTCGCTACATTGTTCGCGGCGCGGGCTGGCACGCGCGGCGCGCGCGACCCGCTACACAAATACACTCTCTCACGCGGCGCGAGTGGCCGGCGGCGGCGCGCGCGCGGGAACCGGGCCGGCCGCCGACCCCGCCTATTATTGTACGCTCGCCTGCGCCCAGTACGGGCGGCGAGCGGGCGCCCCCCCGCCCCTCGGCAACTGCAGTCACCGAGGCGTCCGCCCGTTCGTCTGGATGCTGGGGCTGTTGTGCGAGTGCACTTACGCCGATGTTGATGTCGGGCAATGGCCGATGCAGTTCGGCAGCTGGGACGCTCTGTCGAAATTGTGGAACACAATCTCACGGGCCAAAATGTCCACTGTGAACACGGTATCGCACTGTGCGGCTTGTGGCGCGTAAGGTGACGTTATTTGCTATAATTCGATCACTCTGTTACCAGTGCGCGGCAAAAGGACGCTAGGCCCCACCTACTTCATTCGCTATTTGAACCTAACATTATTGCAGAAAAAGACCTTATAGCAAAAGCGGATGCAAACAAACGCACGGGGGCACCCACACAGCTTTAAGTTACTTATGCTTTCCCTTGCACATAATTGTGAAAACTGGATGCGTCTGTAATACGAGGTTTTGGAATGGACCTTGGACATTAGAAAACGTATCGTTTGGTCCGTCGCTTCTGGACAGGTCAATCAAGTTGACGATCAGATCAAGTCGACGATCAGATACCGTTTTAAACACATTGGCTAGCGACCTCGCTTTCAATCAAGCATACCACCGGTGCATAACAAAGCCCGAAACATGACATGGCGCACCTTCTCAAGCGAGTGTCGCACCTCTGCACAGTGAACGCGTCTGCGGCGATGGATTAGCCGTCTTGCAGCTGGTTGCGCAGCAGTGCGGGACAGCAGGATGACTGGACACACGCACAGGGTCAGTGAAAGCTTCAATATTGATCTTATCGGCACCATGCCCAGACATGTACCGTTCTCATTCAATTGTATCTCACTTCCATTCGCCTTCACAAACCATCCATCAGGTCTACCTCTCCCCCCACAATCCGTCACGCTCACGCATCTGCACCGCCCTCTCCGCACCACTTCTGTCACCCCTGAGGCCAGCAGCCCGGGCGGGAGGGGGAGGGGGCGGAGAGGACCACCCCGTGCGGTCTGTCGCCGGCTCCGCCAGCGCCGAGTTAGCCGTCGGCCGCGGCGCCGTCCGGCGTCCATCGCCAGCTCGACAACGCGTCGGCCGTCGGTGCGCTTCTAACCATTCATCTGGGGACAATTCGCCGCGGCGCTACCGCCAGACAGGCGGCCGCAGGCCCTCCACCCGCTCCCGCGATCTCAAAACGAGCCCGGCCGCGGCGGCGACGGGACGACAGAGGAAGCGAGAAGAAGAGGGGTGGGGCGGGGTGGCGGCGACGGCGGCGAGACGACGGAAGCGGCGGGAGGGGGTGGGGACGGCGGCGGGGCGACGGAGGCAGAAGCGGCGGCGGCGGGGGAGGGGCCGCGGGGTAACGGAGGCGGCGGATGCGGAGGTCAAGGCGGCAGCGGCAGAGGAGAGAGGCGACACTCTCTTTTTACTGGTCCCGGCCGGGCGCCGTTAGCAATGCCTGACAAGACAGAGAGACGCCACCGCACGGACAAGACCCGAGTCGATGCTGTAGTCCATTGAACAGACAGCAGAGGGGCGACCGGGCCGAGGCGGCCTCACCGCTTGGTGTTGACAGGTCCCGGAACACGCCCGGTCAGACGGGGAGGGAGGGAGGGGGTACAGTTAGTGAGTAATCGTGCAGTATCGAGGTGATGTTGCAGTGTGGGTTGGGACAGATAAGATGCATGGAATATACATGCTCAAAGGCCACTTTAAATGGTCTCACCGATACGACATACGTCACGTGAATAGCTCTTGACAAGCTAAACACGACCTGTTTAGGCAATTGCTTGGCCACAAAGCTGTTCGATCCCTAAAGTCCAGTTTAAATCTGACTCGAAGAAAGGGTTTCAATCCGGAATTGATTCCGGCGGAACAGATCACGGTGACAAGTTCGAAGTCGGTGCGATCGATCGGAGTCAACAAGTCGAGATATGATGCAAACTTCAAAAGCAAAACAAAAAGGTCGGTTTTTAGTGCTCACCTCACTTCTCACACGCAATGTTGGAAAGAGTATATCAATGACAGCTCTGAGTCCCGCCATACGACTCGCAGCGTTTTGTCATAGGCCAGTACCCCCTTGACCCAGAGAAAGCTTGAGCGACTCCGGAGTTGGCTCCGACTCCGCGCGGAGTGAGGCACCAGTCTACCCACAAGCGGTCTGTCACGCCCGGCATGCTTGCATCCGCTGCTGGGTCAGCAGCCACCGACGGCGGCTCTGCGGGAACAGAGCGCACTCCTAGCAGGCCCCGACACTGACCGATGTCTGCCGGCAGCGGCGCCCCGCCCAGTGCCGTCCGGTGCAGCCCGGTCCTGTCAGACACTACTGTGTCTGGCCGGCACACTAGCACAGCCGGCGGCACACTGGCACAGCTGGTGGCAGGCACATTGGCCGGCACACTGGCACAGCTGGCGGCACCCTGGCACAGCTGGTGGCAGGCACACTGGCCGGCACACTAGCACAGCCGGCAGCACAACTACCGGGAGTCACCAGTACGGCTGTGTTACGACAGGCATGACTGGCTGTCACGCAGGCCGCCAGAGCTGGTGACGCTGCCGTGGGAGCGGAGCATCACCACCAGACAGCCATCCAGACAGCCGCTTCCGACAGCCGGGCAAGTGGCGCCGCCTGACGTGTTAGCACGGCGTTCGGCCGGGCCGGCCTGACGTCTCGACTGGCACAGCTGAGCGCCACATCCGTCACACAGGGCGTCACAGTCGATGCCGCAGCGGGGAGGCGGGGCCGACTGCAGAAGCTGGGACAGCGGACGTCACGTTCCGGCGTCACTGATGCATACAGGGAGGCGGGCGGCTCTGGATCGCCGAGACAGCCCGTCCGCCCCGCCCCTGCCCCAAGCCAACCATGCACGGGAGGTGCTAGGATTAGGGATGCGCGCCAGGGACCCTCGCCCGGCGTGCGTGTGGCGGCGCGAGCGCGTCTGCAAAGATCGATGCCGCCGTCAGTTGCAAACGTCTCCGTCTCCTCTGTGGTGCCCAGGGGCTCACTGTCGGGGCCGCTGGACCTGCAGTCTCGGACGCTGCGCAGCTGGCAGCAGGCGCCGAGAGTCGCCGAGAGTCGCCGGGTACGCGGCTGGGACAGGTGCCGTGTTCAGCCCGGGTCACCCTGGCAACAGGAGAGGGGGCGGCACGGCGGCCCGACCGCCCGCCCACGGCGCGTGACCGCGCCAGGTGAGCCTGTCCAGCGGCCGGGGCCACCCCGGGAGGAAGGGGGGGGGGGGGGAGGGCGGCCACTGAGCCGGCGCCAGGGGGCGCTCGCTGCGACAGAACACCGCCCAGCGGGTCGGAGCACGGCCTTCCGTTCGCTCACGTCGGCCTTGGCGGTACGCCGCGGGCCGTCCAGACACGTAAGGACGGCGCGGACGTCGCGGCAGACGGCGAATGCCCTCCCCTCTCCCCGCGGCGGAGCGGAGCGACCTGAGAGGCGACGCAGCCCGCTCGCAGCCAACTCACGGAGACGCGGGCCGAGCGGCGCGGACGTCCGGCAGACGGCGAATGCCCTCACCCTCTCCCCGCGCGGAGCGGAGCGACTGAGAGGCGACGCAGCCGGCCGCTCGCAGCCAACTCACGGAGACGCGGGCCGAGCGGCGCGCATCCGAACGGCCGGCTCAGCTCCTACTCAGGGTATCAACAGCGGCCGGCGCGCGGCGCTCAGCTGACGACGGCTCCCAACATGGGCTCGGCCGGTCTCCTGATGCCGTTGTTTGTTTGGGGCCGCCGAGCCGCCACTTCCCGACTGGTCCGATGAACAAAGGGACTGGTCGCGCCGTGCAGACGGCGCCGGGGCGCTTGACGCGACTCGGCGATTTGGGCGATGGGGTGGGGAGAGAGCGGCGCGCACGTCGAGGGGCGGAGCAATGCGGTCGAACTGTCTGCGCGGGAACCGAGTCACGGTCCGTATTGGATGCCTGGCCTTGTGTTCCCTACTTGGCAGTAGCGAGGCGATACAATTTGATGGAGTGGGCATGGCAGACTGAAAGTTGGACATTGCTCTTTCCGCCAACAGCGCAGAGTACGCTTGTATTGAATAACGCATCGTATAAAGTAACGAGCACCTGCTAACATTCCCTTTCTGTAGGAAAATGCACCGGCCTAATACATTTTGTATCAATAACGCCGATATCCGCAAAATCTGATTTCACCTCGTGCTTTTCGTAGCCACAAATAACCGAGTCTTGAACGTCCATATTCGATGAGAATTGAAACCGCTGTTATGCCCCATTCGGCGAGGAGAGCAGCAGCACAAACCGCACTATATGACCGAAGCACTGCGCATCTTGTGTGACAACACAACGTGGCGTACGTGAGAAGCGTAGACAATGCCCAACGACGAAGAACGCGTCGGGCGGGCCAACGCCACTGGTCAGCCGCTGTCCCACCGGGCGAGTCAGTGCCGCTGGTCATCCGCTGTCCACCGTGCAGGCCAGTGCCGCTGGTCAGCCGCTGGCCGCCGTGGCGGACTAGCGCGCTGGTCAGCCGCTGGCCACCGGGCGAGTCAGTGCCGCTGGTCAACCGCTGGCCACCGGGCGGGCCAGCGCCGCTGGGTCAGACGCTGGCTACCGGGCGGGGCCAGTGCCGCTAGTCAGCCGCTGGCAGCCGGGCGGACTAGCACCGCTGGTCAGCCGCTGTCCACCGGGCGGGCCAGCGCCGCTGGTCAGTCCGCTGGCCACCGGGCGGGCCACCGCTGGTCAGCCGCTGTCCACTGGGCGGCCAGCGCCGCTGGTCAGCCGCTGGCCACCGGCGACAGGCCGCTGGTCCGCCGTCCACGGTCAGGCCAGTGCCGCTGTCAGCCACTGACCACGGGCGGGCCGCCGCTGGTCACCGCTGCCGCCGGGCAGGCCATCGCCGTGGTCAGCCGCTGGCCACCGGGCGGGCCAGCGCCGCTGGTCAGCCCTGGCCA